ACTCTTTCCTGCCTCTGCAGGGGGTCAGACTCGATGATCTATTGAGGTCCCTTCCGACCCTAACATCTATGAAAAACTCTCTGCAGGCGGGCAGAGTTCCAGTCTGCAAGGGGCTGTGGGGAGCAGGAGGACGGCGATCAGGCAGGGGGTGCCATGTGCAGTACGTGCACATGGCCACCAGGCAGTCTGCAGATCAGCTCCTGCAGCTAAATCTGATGGGAGGAAACTGAAGCCCCCAAAGGGAGGGAGTTAGGCAAGGATGGGGCTGCTGCCCAGCCAGGGCAGTACATGGGGCTTGGGCCTTAATATGCGGCCGCAGGGCCTGGGTGGAGAGTGGGTCGGGGCCACGGGCAGCTTGTCCAGGGGGCAGGGGTGGGGCTGGCTCCCCATCCACTGCATGCACTCCTGGGAGGAACAAGGGGGCACATGCCCCCCACATCTGCGAGCAGGGCAGGGGTGGGTTGCCCTCCTCCCGGGGCCTCTGCAGCCCAGCAGGTGGAACCTAACCTGGCAGAGCAGAATGGGGCTGAGTGGGGAAGCTTCTTGCTGCTGCGAGCTCCGCGCCGCCCTGGCGAGGCACCCCCTGTCCATCTGGCAGCAGCAGGAGTGGCAGCATCAAGTTGTGCCCGTCACTGCTGCCACGCGGGCAGGGGGCACTTTGTCAGGGTGGTGCAGGGCTTGCAGCAGCAAGGAGCTTCCCTGCCCAGCTGAATCCCACCCACTGGGTTGCAGAGGTCCTGGCGGGAGGGTAGCGGAGCAGGGAGCCCGAGGCCACAGTGGGCAACCTGCGCTCGTCCCCCACGGGCTCTGCTCCAGCCGTGCCGCCCGTAAGGGAGGGGGAGTCAGGCTCTGCACTCTGCCGCAGCAACTGCTGCCTCCCATGAGCGGCAGCTGGGGCTCAGGTGCTGCTGCGGGGGGCAGGGTGCTCCAGACCCTGGTCCCTGGCCCCATAGCCCTGGCAGCTGGGCCCCCCCTCTGGCAGGGCTTGGGCAGCAGGGGGCTGT